TGTACAAAACACAATATCTGTCCCTACCCCAACTGCAACATCCCTCCCTACTACCACAATGTCATCAACAACATTCCAAGACCCTGCCATTCTCAGCCTCGCCCCGAAGCGCGACACCACCGCCTCTCGAGCTGATCCTCAATACTATCCGCAACCAAATACCGCAGAGAAGCGAGATCCTCCCTCCATCATCACCAACCCTGCTGACCGCATGACCTATTCCTCTCCCGACGAGATCACCGACGCAAACATTCCTGCTCCTTCCGACATTCCTGGTCGCCTCAACGCTTCCATGGAGCAACTAAACCTCTCCCACTCGTCGAGAGCCGAGAACGAGGTAGACGAGAATGTCGAGTTGACTCCAACTGCACCGCAAGATCCGTCAGGCAACCGTAGAGATCGTCGCAGAGGAGCGCGTGGAAGGGGCCGTCGCAAGAACAAGTTGAACAATGGGGACGGTTCTCCAGCGCAACCAACGACGCAGGGCCCGGGATGGAGACAGACTCCCATCCTTCAGTCGACTAGTTCTTTCCAACCCTTCACGTCGTTGAAGAAGAACCAGAAAAGTCGAGTCGCTCCTAACGCCGACAACGGCTGGGCTTCCGAGGATGTTACTGACGTCCAAGAAGCGGGTGACTTTGACTTTGAGGGTAGTCTTGCTAAGTTTGACAAGCGCAAGATCTTCTACGAGATGGCGGAACAGGACCGAGTCGAGGAAGCTGAGCGTCTGGTGTCTCACAACCGTCTCCCTCGTCCGAAACCGGGAACTGCTGGGGGTAAGAACCTGCATTATACCGAGAATGTTCTGGACACACCGTCGGCGACCCTAAAGCCGAAGGAGACGCCGCGAGATCATTGGAAGAGCGAGGCAGACGACAATGCCGACGGAGGTGATCGCGGCAGCGTTCGAGATGGTAGTGGTCGAAACTCTCGTTTGCGAGGAGAATCCCGACTCTCGACGAGTCGACGCTCGCAGTCTCGAAAGGCTAGCACTACTATGAGTGTCGCCGGATCAAGCCGAGGGGTAAATCATCACTCTTCTTTTTTTCAGTCTCTCGTAGTCTCATACTAATTCGTGAGTAGCACCAGGTGAACTCTACTCGCGATTTCAAGGCAAGCGGCTTGTACGCGTCGCCTGCCAACCGCCGAGTCGAGACCGTTACCTCGTTTCAGATGGTAGCCGTCGAGAACGTTGCGCACCACGAGTTCGGTTTTACCGACGATCTTATGGCTGAGAATGCCGGTCGTGGTATTGCCGAGGTGGCTATGCGTGCGTTGGATGATCCCGCCGTGACACTGCGTGCCCAAGCAGCTTCACCGCCGAGTGCTCCCTCGATCGTTGTCCTAGCCGGTAACAACAAATCGGGAGTTCGCGCCCTAGCAGCTGCCCGTCATCTTCGAAACCGCGGCCTCAACGTCATGGTCTGCGTAGTTGGTATCGAGCGTGAGAATGACTTGATGGAAGAGATCAAAAGGCAAGCCAAACTCCTACGAAGCTTCGGCGGTGTGATCTTTAACAAGTCAGAGCTCTTTGATCATGTGAGCGAGACTGCCAACACCTTGAACACATCTCCGCAGGGCGCCGTTACGCTCATCGTAGACGCTCTTCTGGGCCTCACCATCTCGTTCGAGGAACTCCGTAAATCGGATCAAGCTACCACTTACGAGCTGATGGAGTGGTCCAACCGAAACGACGGTTTCGTCATTGCAATCGATCTCCCTAGCGGAGTGGAACCGACGAGCGGTAGAGTCAACGTGATCGATGGGGCGAAGCTGTACGTACACCCGCGATATGTCGTTGCGCTCGGTGCACCTAAGCAGGGCCTGCTGAAGGCCCTGGAGATGGGAGACGATCAGGGCGATATCCTCATGCCCGAGGAGTGGAAGCTGTTCCTAGCCGATGTCGGACTCGGTCCAATTGTTTGGCGCAAGGCGGCCACCAAGATTCGCCGCGGCATCGAGTTCGACGATCACTGGGTCCTGGAACTGAAATACCGATCCCAATTTGAAGAGGAAGGAGACGACTTCTAAGCTCTTTACGACAGAGTCTATCGGCCCAACACAGAGGTTGTCCCCAAGATTGAAGTGAGGCTAGCATAAACATGTTCTGACTAACTACGAGATTCGAGACTCGCAGTCTTTTGAAAAGGCTGTGAGCACTACTACTTTCGTCTACAACTAGGACGTTGATTGACATGCAAGACGAACAAACGAACGGCTTAATTGGATGGCCACATTTTTCCGTGGCAAGGACGCTTCAACCACCTGTTGAGAGAACGGTGTCGTTGGATGAGATAGGCACGTGCAGCCATCATATTGGTATGAATACCACCATCCACCGATTTTCCCTGGAATAGGTACAGCCTATAGCTCGATGATAGGCTGACCGCATCACACACATACAGCAAGGTGATTCTTTACGAGATATCCGAACAGTCAAGTGATGAACTATTAGCTGGATCTCTAAACGAATAACCACACACCCCACCTCTTCCGCACCTCACACCTCTCATCACCTTTGTCGACTCTACCGATTCTCCCAGCATCTTTGGCGAGCCGGTACACGAATTGTAAGACACGGATACCCCAAGGCATGGCATAGTGATCGGCGTTGGTTCTTTAGGTCCACGGATGACCTCTTGTCAGAATTTTGCACAGGTAAAGGGCTGCTTGCATCGCGCATGTAAGGAAGACAGTCAGGAGGAAGATGTGTATGTACTCACTCTACATACGGGAGATCGTTACGACCTTGGATGGTTCGGTTTGAAACTTGTAGTGCTCCACGGCTACTTGCAAATTCCCTATTAGAGTTGATACATGTAGTTTTTCAGAGTGAGATAATCGACGAAGGTTGTCTTGCAAGTTATGGTATTACCGTAAAAGTGAAGTCTACCCTGAGGTAGTTGTCGTCGTAGACAAGAATCACATGGTGCCCCTATTGAACTAAATACAGTAAATTGATGAGCCTTAACTCCGACCATATTCGGGGTCCAGCCGAGCACGGTGCAACCATGGGCCCTACCCCTGCTAGCTTACGGACCTGGCGCTCTTGGTATCCAATGGGAGACCAGGATTTACTCAGCAAATCTGCACCGACCAGGGCAGCTCCCACAGCTCCATGGTGTCATCGATGGCATGTTCTGCTCGTACGAGAAGCTTCTGAGCCAATGTCGTAGCAACGCTTGATCTGCCGCATCCGCCATTGGATGCCAGCGAGGTAAGCTTGCGTACGTTGCTGCTACTGAATCCTAACACAGAAGTACGTGCAGGCAGGTAGGTGTAGAGCAGTGTAGAGCAGAGATAAAAACCAGCTTGTCCTCCCGAGTTCTACCCCATTCCCTCGGAGTCCCTTTTCACGATGGAACCGCCTGTCAAGTACCAGCCTCGACGGAGTATCCTGGACAAACCGATACTCATCGCTATCCCTATCTTGATCGGACTGTTCCTCACTAGATCGCCTTTCTTCATGTCGGCACCGACGCTGGACGCTGCGGCGGGACAGCCCTGGGCGGATGCCCCGATTGCGCTGGTTGCGACGCCGCAGTACGAGACGAAGAAGGTACCTACCTATCCTATTCTATCTATCTCCCTCTGCATTTCATTAGTTTGGCATATTGGCCTCTCAGTCAATACGGGCTAACAAGTTTGAATCACAACAGACCGACATCTTCACGACCGGCGCCACGCACATGGCGCTGCTGCACAACGCCATCCTGCGCGGCTACAACTCGATCTACCAGCAGGCGCCGCACGTGGCCTCGCCGACCGACAAGGCCGACTTCGTCGGGTACGCGCGGACGTGGCACAAGTTCGTCGCCTCGCACCACGACGACGAGGAGGCCGTGCTCTTCCCGCAGGTCGCCGCCGTCCTCGGCAACGACACCTCCGTCTGGGCCGCCACGCACGCCGAGCACGAGGCCTTCCTCGGCGGGCTCGCCGCGTTCGCGACGTACCTGCGAAGCGTGGAGGCCCGGCCCGCCGAGTTCCGCGGCGAGACGCTCGTCAATATCATGCAGAACTTCCAGCAGCCGTTCGCGGACCACTTCCACCGCGAGATCGCCACGATCGCGCAGCTGGCCGCGCACCCAAACGCGCCGACGCCCGGGTCCCCCGAGGAGGCGCGCGCCGCCGCCACGTTCAGGAGCTGGGGCAAGAGCACGGTGACCAAGGCCGGCACGCTCGACGTCGTGCCCTTCTTCCTGCTGAACCTGGACGGCACGGCGGAGGACGGCACGTGGGCCGACTGGCCGCCCATCCCGGCCCCCGTCAAATGGGGCCTGCTGAATGTCGCCGGCGCCTGGCACTCCCGCTGGTGGAAGTTTAGCTCGTGCGCGGCGGGGCGGCCGAGGAAGTTGTACGCTTTGCCGTGAGGTAGGGGAGGGGAGGGGAGAGGGGGTGAAGTGGAGAGGTGGAGAGAATGAATTGATACCCATGTGGATTGCTGGTAAGATATAATAATAGAGTTATGTTAGATGGGATAGTAGTGTAATGTAATGTAATGACGACTCCTCTTCACACACGAATAGGCATGAGTTCCATGTGCTTAGAGAATAGCTGAGTCCCTGTACGGTGATATGTTGGTGGATTTGACCCCTATCATCAGTTACCAATCGCTAAAAGCAACAAGTACTATTGGAAGTTGGATAAAGCCCTATTCGACCACCCAATTAACTGAAATACATTTACAAGGGAAAAAGAAACATACCCAGACAGGATTCGAACCCGCAGCTCTCTTGAAACCGACTCCCTGGCTCTTTCATTCTTTCAGAAACCAGGGCCACTCGGAGTATGCTACCATTGCACCACTAGGGCCATACCATATGGTGAAGCCTCCGCGTTCGCGTGTTTGACCATCATCTATCATATAATATAACGCACCTGATCCAGCAAACCCTGGAGGTAAGCTCTTTTTGCATCTGACAAAGTGCCCCTCCTATATAGGTCCTAGTCCCATGATTCCTAGGCAGAAAGGAGCGATGAGACGGATGAGTTGCATGACAGGCTTGGTAACGTAGTGGTAGCGCATTCCACCATTGCGCGCTTCTGAGTGGCAAACGGGCTCAGAGGAGATGTCGAGGTGGGAAACGCTGTGGGTTTGAATCCCACCCGGGCCTAATACTTTTATGCTTTCGTTCCTTCACACCTGTACTTGGTCCTTTTTGAAGCTACATCTCATCAATATTTAAAATCTAATCGAAGAATATACTTCCAGTAGATATTACCTAGAAAGGAGGTAGTCAACAGGATAATATGTATATCACTTTTGCGGTCCCTCAAGCCACATGCTAGCCTAGCATAGGAATTTCACTGGACAAGACCGATCGTGCCCGGGGAAAACATCCGTTGATTAGACAGCAGAGCTTTAGCGTGCGTAGCATAGCGTCTTCATTTGGAAGAATCACTGCACCTGATACATACAATATAGCAGAGTTTAACGTACACAAAACAGGCATCGCTAAACTTCTATTCGACGTTTTGGCGACCTATGTACTTGTTTGAACCTGTACGTACAAACTCGGGAGACAGAAAGTCTAACGACCAACCGCCAACTTCCGACCCCCTTTCCCCCACATTTCCCGCTTCCAGCCTAGGTATCTACCACCTAAAGTCCCAGCCTCGAACCAACCATCCGACCTAAGCCTTCTTCCTGAGGACGAAGATCTCGCCCGAGGCCTGGTTGTCGGAGCTGGCGAAGAGGCGCTGGCCGGCCTGGTCCCAGCTGAGGCCGGCGATGCGCCAGCAGGTGCTCATGGTGAGCGAGGGCGAGTTGCAGCCGCCGGGGTTCTGGGCGCCGATGATGTTCTTGTAGCCCGTCTTGGAGTCGGGGGCGGCGACGGGGTCGTACGTGCCGTCGGCGTTCTTCTTGAAGGGCACCTCGGCCACGAAGTAGCCCTGCGCCGGCTGCCGGTCCCAGCTGCCGTGGAACGTGATGTACAGGTTCTCGCCCGCCGGGTCGAACGCGTTGGAGATGGGCGCCATGTGCGCCGGGAACGACAGGCGCGGCGGCACCGACTTGCCGTCGCACGAGGCGTCGCTGAAGGTCGTGTTGGGCGTCACGACGAACTGCGAGCCCGTCTTTAGGGCCGTGTTGTCCTTGAAGTTGGACGGCTCCCACACCGTGAAGCACGTCGGGTAGCCGAACCAGTTGTTCGCCAGGGGCGCAGCCGGGTCGCCGACTATATTGATAATGTTAGCACTAGAACGTGGCAGTTTCCTCTAGTATCTAGATCTTACGGTAGTTCAATTCCTCAGCAGGGTTGTCGATGTGGATATCAGTCGCCTGGCCGTTGACGGTTCTCCTGAAGTCGTCACCACTGTTCTCGGCGCCCCACACGTGACCGTTCGGGTCGAATGCCAGGGCGACTTCGTTACGCAGACCGTAGCCCAGGACGGTGCCTTGGCTATTGTATGAGTAACCGTTGGCAGGCGCCTTGCTCATGTCAAAGACCTTAACGATGGCACGGCCGACACTCGGGTCGATGGTCGGGTTGTCCCAGTTTGAAGCAGCGCCGACGGAGACGAGGATCAGGTTCGGGTTCTTGGGCGAAACGAGAATAGTTCGGGTAGAGTGAATACCCTGACCGATGCCGCTGACCACGGTCTTCTGGCCGGTCACCGTCATCGCAGCCGCGTCGTAAGTCCACGACCAAGCCGTCGTCTGCGAACTAGCGTAGAGGGTCTTGCCGTCGGGGGTAAGACTGAGACCGTGGTTGAGACCCGAGCTCTGGAAGAGAGTCTTGGTGCTGTTGATGCAACCATCCGCGCCAAAGGTGTGGACAGAAATACCCATGGTGGCTTGCAAGACCAGCATGTGACCTAGGGGGTCGAAGATGATGGTTCGTGGCTGACGAAGGCCACTGGCGATCTTGGTGACTTCCCAGCCAGCATCAACCGTGTATGGGTATCGGGGTGCCTCCACACCTGAGCAGGAAGTAGGGAATGGGAATGTCGGGGCCGGAGCATCCTGAGACAGAGCTAGGATCCTCTTCGTCAGTGTTGTGTCTTCTAGCATAGCAATGAAATCCACTCACCTTGGCCCGCAAGGGCAGCTACCGCCGAAACCGTCGTTAACCAACGCATTGTGATATTTTATATTTAGCTAGTATGGAACCAAGTAGTCGACCTCTGTCACTTGACGGGGTGCCGAGTCTTTCGAAAGAGCCAAGACAGGATGGGCTGTAGAGGGAGCATCGCGTTATATAGCAACAGCGTCTACACAACGCCACAGGCCGTGGGAGGCCATGTGAAATGCGGAGAGTCCACGAACCGGGATTCTTGGCGCTGTCAGGTTATTAACAGGGCATGATACCTTCGAGATGGGCGTCCAAGGGGAGGCGGCGGCTTATTGGGCAGGCCGGTGGCATGTCGATCTCTTTTAGGCAAAGGCGATCAAGATTTCCTTATATAGCATCCATGACACCATGTCGTCTGGCGCTATAGGACGGCGTAATAACGAGGGACGACAGAATAAGGTATTGTTGTTTTCGGTCTGCGGAGGCAGACGGTTTATTGATGTAATTAACCGGAGAGACAAAATGCAACACCAAAACCGCGTCTCGCCTAGGGTCCCCGCAGACACTCACCTCTAGCCGGCAGATGGAAAGAAATCACCTCAGAAGTGTAATGCAGAACCGGGAAAAGAAATAAGGATAGACGTCACTCTTAAATAGGAGATGCATTGAGGACGTATAGACTATGAGGAGGGCGTCGTAAGCCTAGGTGATATATACCCTCGGGGCATGGCATCTTGGATATGCAGTGACTTCACCACACATCTTGGAGAATTCTGTCGTTAGATACCCATACCTGCCTACCTAGGCTGCGAGGTAGTGAAAAGCAATACATAAGAGGGAGTGGCAGTTAATATGGGGAGGCGGGTTGCGTATCTATAAGATCTAATCATAGCTCATGATAGTCCATTAGAATATATTGGGCATACTCCTCTTTCGATTTGATAACAGTCTAGGAGCCCATCTTTAGAACATCATTGCCCTAATAGATGTTTGGAAAGTGTCTGATCATGGAATAGAATGCACCGTCATACTTGCATTCAGACCGAGGTCCAGAACTCCAAGGATGGTGTTGAATGCGTCTCCCACGAGGCATTCAAAAAGCCGAGTCGTTCTCTAAGCCGTGATGTGAGTTTATCTTCAAAGATAGCAATGGAGATGAAGACGTAGTGAAATAGAGTCCAAGCGAATCTAAAAGGGAAGAACTGGATGCAGTGTCTTCAGTCACTTGTTCCAATCTTGACCATCGACATATCTCTTTGTCGGACATGGAGTTCCATGCCTCACTCAATCACATCATAGTGGTGCGAAAGGCCGGTTTGTCTGCGACTATTCATAGTCCGTACTTGGTAGCAAGTGAGTCGATGATGTCGAAAACCAAGCTGAGATGCGACGAGGGCAGAGTCTGTTCAGACTCGTCCCAGAGCTAATGAGACCAGCATGGGATCAAGACAAGAAGTGCACACGTTCACTACGGTGGCTTTAATAAGGCAATGTTCTGGAACTTGGAATTCTGGGGAAGCTTGTAAAGTTTGGTGCCGTCTCACATCTATTTTTAATATGGGCATCACCAACCTTATGTTCAGGTCACAAGCCACTTGAGCTCAGCCCCGTTCCAACTATTCGGAAAAACTTCGATGGATCATCTCGGTGTTGCCCGGAGGTGGCAGGGTGGGTATGGTAGTGGAGATGCTAGTCCGATTGGACCAATAAAGATGAACTCTGCCTCAGCCTCCAAAAGTGTACAAGTGTACAGGTGTACGCGTTAGTTCGTATTTAGCGGTCTCAGCACTGTTCTCCTTTTCTTTCTTTTCGTCTGATTGGCTACATACCCCTGGTCCAAGGCGTAAGCCCAAAGCTCATTTGCCATCGCCTGTCAAAAGTTAATTGTTAAGGTGCGGTAAGCTAGGTAAGTAAGTACATATGTACCTACTAAGGGGACACTTGGAAACCCGAACCCCTTCCAAATCTTCATCCAATCCTAAATTTTTGATCCATCTCGTAATTATCACACCTCTCTTTTTTTTTATCAACCCCCTTTTTCCTTAATCCGCAACCTTTTTAACCCTTGGCAACATTTTCACAACCACCGTCGTGGAAGTGTCGCCATTCCATCCTGACGACACACTTCGTGATGAAGTCGTTTCCGATCAATTAGATTGATACGATAAAGTTGGATCCCGTTGATCGGTTGAGGGCGAAGGAGAATAACATAGGCGTGTCTGACGCGTATGCGTATTTGACTCTATTGTCTATCTTGTACCCTTTACTCGGACGGATTTATGGCCGATTAAATAGAATACTGACGACGACTACGACATCATCATCACCCATTAGTACACTTCCATCACCAAAAAAGCGGTCGCTAAGCTCCCATTATGGATCTGCTTCGTCGCGCTTATAGGCGTGTTCCCGCGACCATGGGTACCGGCACCGCTCAACTTCCCACATCCGGCGAGAAGCGACCCCAGTTAAATAGAATGACCTCTCGACTCGCCTTCTTCCGAAGACCCCTCCGATTAAAAGGCAACTCTAGCATATCCGTGCCTTTGGGTGTGGTCGTGTTATTCCCATGCATCGTCGTGGTCCTCATCCTAGTCTTGTTTGTTAGACATCCAAGCTCCCCAGGTCGGATATTAATGCCTGCCGGTGCGCCTCCCGCTATTCGGTAAGTCCTATACTCATACAGTCCTACGCGCTCAATCGATATATGCGATGATTACTAATACATATGCCACGAAACAGAAAGATTAGCGAAGAGCACGACAAGGTATTCGTCTCTGGCTGCCTCGAGCCCGACACCTCGAAGGAACGAGCTAATGGCGCATTTGTCGTGCTGGCTCGAAATAAGGAGTTGGAAGGCGTTATACAATCTGTCAAGTCCATCGAGAGACATTTCAACCGCTGGTACCATTATCCTTATGTCTTTTTGAACGATGGAGACTTCAACCAGACCTTCAAGGACGTCATCCGCAACTACACTACCGGTCCTGTCGAGTTTGGCAAGGTCGGCGCAGACATGTGGGGATACCCTGACTGGATCGACCCCAAGGTCGCCAAGGAGGGTATCGCTAAGCAAGGAGATGCCGCCGTCATGTACGGTG